ATTGTATAGGTTTTCTTTTTAAGCATGGGATAGGGGACATGGGTCATAGGTCTTGTTTAAAATTAAACTGGGTAATAAGAATATCATTATTTTAATAGAAGTGTCACTGCTAACAATTCTACATGTTGATTTTGTTAGTTACAACGTATCTGAACTGTATAGATTTGGTTTAGTTAGTTACAAATCATTAACAAAAAATTCCCTATAGTCATAGTTCCACAAACATTTGTAAATTTAAATATTATTAGAGTAATTTATTATGACGATTATTATACTCACGACAACACAGAACTCGTTACTGTGATGCTAAGATAATACAAACAATTCTACATTCAATATGATATCTCTTGTTACACGTGATTGATTTCAATTCGTGCCGTTATAATCAAAATTAAACCATTTACTCAGTGACAAAAACAATGTCAATATGTTTCATTCAATGCATTCGATAAATTCACTGAGAATGAACGACATATATTCCAACAAACAAACAAACATGCATCACGTGATGTCTGCTAGAGGTAGGAGTTATGCTATAATATGAAACAAGTAAAACACAAGATACATACACTATCTGTGTCTTTAAGATGATATCAATATATCGTTTATGAATGCATACGTAATCTATATATGCAATATTTTTTATTGTCATAAGGGTTCTAGTCAGTTATATACTGTAGTCTCTTTTCTTGGGGGTGTCGACATTTAAAACTATTGCAAACTGGTAAATAAATATTGTGTTTCAATTAAAACACGGGAGCATAATTCTACCAATTGTTTATCTATGTTCTGTTCTTCGTATGGCCCTTTCATTTCGATAACCTGATCGTGAATACAAAATCGTTGATTGGATGTGTTTAGAATTTTACTTGACTTGATTACAAATAATATACCTTCATCCGATTTTAATTACACTGGTTTCGTATTTCACCATAGAATGAATGGAATGCGAGTAAACTGATTTTTTTTTAGAATATAAACTATGTAATCAAGTAAATCTTGTTGGTATATTTTCTATGTTTTCGTCAGCTCCTTATTAACAGAGGCGTATTTTGTAACGAGATGGTTCGCTTTGACTTGACCTGTATACGGATTTGTATCGATGTTTTACTCTCTCAAACGGAAATCAATGTTCAATTTTAAGTCTACACTATTTTCTTTGAAAGGAAAAGATTCCATCGATCATCGCCGTTTGACTCCTGACAATGGTTGCAAATCAATATCCACTCCCAATGTATACATTCAGTTACACCTAGGAATAACGCACTGCCAAATGTACACATTCAAATACACCTAGAAATAACGCACTGCCAAATGTACACATTCAAATACACCTAGAAATAACGCACTCTCAAATGTACACATTCAAATACACATAGAAATAACGCACTACCAAATGTACACATTCAAATACACCTAGAAATAACGCACTCCCAAATTTACACATTCAAATACACATAGAAATAACGCACTCCCAAATGTACACATTCAAATACACCTAGAAATAACGCACTCATAATGTACACATTCAAACACACCTAGAAATAACGCACTCATAATGTACACATTCAAATACACCTAGAAATAACGCACTCTCAAATGTACACATTCAAATACACCTAGAAATAACGCACTCCCAAATGTACACATTCAAATACACATAGAAATAACGCACTCCCAAATGTACACATTCAAATACACCTAGAAATAACGCACTCATAATGTACACATTCAAACACACCTAGAAATAACGCACTCCCAAATGTACACATTCAAACACACCTAGAAATAACGCACTCATAATGTACACATTCAAATACACCTAGAAATAACGCATTCCCAAAGGTACACATTCAAATACACATAGAAATAACGCACTCCCAAATTTACACATTCAAATACACCTAGAAATAACGCACTGCCAAATGTACACATTCAAATACACCTAGAAATAACGCACTCTCAAATGTACACATTCAAATACACATAGAAATAACGCACTACCAAATGTACACATTCAAATACACCTAGAAATAACGCACTCCCAAATGTACACATTCAAATACACATAGAAATAACGCACTCCCAAATGTACACATTCAAATACACCTAGAAATAACGCACTCATAATGTACACATTCAAACACACCTAGAAATAACGCACTCATAATGTACACATTCAAATACACCTAGAAATAACGCACTCTCAAATGTACACATTCAAATACACATAGAAATAACGCACTACCAAATGTACACATTCAAATACACCTAGAAATAACGCACTCCCAACTGTACACATTCAAATACACATAGAAATAACGCACTCCCAAATGTACACATTCAAATACACCTAGAAATAACGCACTCATAATGTACACATTCAAACACACCTAGAAATAACGCACTCCCAAATGTACACATTCAAACACACCTAGAAATAACGCACTCATAATGTACACATTCAAATACACCTAGAAATAACGCATTCCCAAAGGTACACATTCAAATACACATAGAAATAACGCACTCCCAAATTTACACATTCAAATACACCTAGAAATAACGCACTCCCGAATGTACACATTCCAATACACCCAGAAATAACACACTCCCAATGTACACATTCAGTTAAACCTAGGAATAACGCACTCCCAATGAATACATTTAGTTAAACCTAGAAATAACGCACTCTCAAATGTACACATTCAAATATACCTAGAAATAACGCACTCCTAATGTACACATTCAAATACACATAGAAATAACGCACTCCCAAATGTACACATCATTGATTCAAATACACCTAGAAATAACGCACTCCCAAATGTACACATTCAAATACACCTAGAAATAACGCACTTCCAATGTACACATTCAGTTAAACCTAGGAATAACGCACTCCCAATGTATACATTCAGTTAAACCTAGAAATAACGCTCTCCCAAATGTACACATTCAAATATACCTAGAAATAACGCACTCCCAAATGTACACATTCAAATACATCTAGAAATAACGCACTTCCAATGTACACACTCAGTAAAACCTAGAAATAACGCACTCCCAATGTACACACTCAGTAAAACCTAGGAATAACGTACATCCACGTTGCTGAGGTCGTGCTTCGACTGTTCAAAATGAGAATTCCTAATTGTTAATCTGCTTAATGGAACAGACATGACTCTAAGCAAGACTGTGCAATGACGTCAGAAACAAATCATACCAACAAACGACATTTCACAATTCAAGGTATACATGTAAATTCACAAATGAAGTATTAACAGGGAGATTTTAATAAATAGAAATTGAAAGTTCGCCATCCACCTATTTAGACCAATGGAGCTCATTAACGCATGCTATTGGATGCATAACATGACGTCACTGCTTTAAACTATTCTTCGTGAACATGTAGAATACTTTGACGTGGAACCCATTAGTGAACAAAAACAAATGTCTCAGGATCAATTCCATGCATACACGTCATGACAAAATCATGTAATCATTATAAAGTTTAAATTACGTGCACCTACAAATAATACTTCAATTGAATTTGGACACAGGATAGGCACATAATCACTGAAGTTAGAGTTTATTCCTTTGTTGAGAGATCATTTTTTATAGAATTGTGTGAGAATATGATGTATATATGACATTTCAATGTACTTTATTATTAGCTAAGATTTTGATGAAACAAAATAGTCTTGTTCAGCCGTGCTACTCAAATATAAGCCAGCCGGTTCCTGTGGTGCGAAAGCCGGACAATCCCGATTATAGATTCGACATGAACCATTAGAACTAAAGTATTCGTGGACGATGCCGACCCACGCAAGAAAACTTATCCAGAGTCCGACTACACATCCTAGATAACACGCTCCCAATTGGCTCATTTTCGGTACTACCAAACTGCAAAATAGCTACTTCTAAGTTTTTCTTATTTGAAACATTTTCATTAATTATGTTACCTATTTCAATGTTATGGAATATCTATTCAAGATTCGGGATATTATAGAAACGTTTTAGAAAGTGTTCCGAATCATATAATTATTGTTTTCCCAGTCTTATAACGATAGTCAATGTGAATTTTATATGAAAATGCATTCACGTATCTTGTATGCGTATATGGAATTAATTAATATTATTTTGGTGTGATACAATGTAGACTTATCATAATTGTATATTAATCACACGATAATGGGAACTTTAAAAGTGTAAGGGTTGTTTTTATTGTAAACGTTTGTTAGCATTAATCATTAAGGAAGATCGTCAAACTGATTTAAAGTGATCGCTTTCAATTAATTAGATTGCGGATTTCCATGGAAATGTATTCGGATTAATGACGATTGAATTCTATATAAAGATTCTCTTACAGCGAATATTGGACCAGCTGCATTTGTGCAAACCTGTAAAGCCGCCCTCTCAAGTGTTTGCAATAAGCTTCTTTGAAATTCATGATTCAAGTATTTGGATTCGCCTTGAATTATTGCATAGCCAATGAACACTGATTGTATAGTAGATTGCCTTCACACCCACACGTTAATAAAAATATGCTAATACAGTGGTAACGTCACAATGTGAATAAATTATGCTAATTTGCTATGACATCACACATACATTTGCTCTATATATTTGATGTCTAAATGAAATGTTACCATACTCGTCGTACAAGAGTGTAACTACATGGATTGCTCTACCTGTTGAAAAGATACCGGCTTAGCGTTTTAATTTGACTTTGTCTTTTGTGTTACCTTAGCTGTATCCTTTTCTGTTAGCAAAGTGAGTAAATTGTTCATACAGTTCATACGTGCAGATGGATTTTAAAGACACTTCAGTATCTGTGCTACGATATGATATGATCGTCGTGGAATTGGCTGCGCATTAATGTAGCACAAATTATTTGTTCAGACAAGAGACTAATTACGGAAGACGATCCAAGAAATAGACAGTCTGTGTGATCACGTGTTGCACATACTCACTAAGTACTGTTTGTTCATTTTCAGGCGGAGATATATAATATTGGAGTAGACTGAGAATAACTATAACGCTAGGCGACAACGTAACATAAAGTGTGGGATAATAGTAACTGTCGATAAACATGAAAACCTTACTTATACTTGCCATATGCTGTATTATCATTGTAAAAGCTGAAGACCAGGTGAGTACATTGCAATATTTGTACAAACAATTCCATCATTAATTACTTAGTACTCACACCTTTACGATTTCGCGATATTCAAATTTTTTTTAACTGAAAAATAAATTATATTTGGAGGATAATTGAATCATTCGGATCAGAATACAGTACAAGAAGATGTATTTGTAATATAAAATCAGCGACCACAATCACGTAATTTTATATTTTTTGTTTGTCATCGATTTCAATAAATATCGTTGAAATTCAGAATTCCAATTTACTAAATAACCTTCCAGTGTTTATAATGGAGGTTAGCACCAATAATCATAAGCCATTATTTCATTACTGAACAAAAGTGTCGATCGGAAGTTGTTGAATTGCAAGAATTAGTATAAGAAGCCATCCGTATTTCTAGTATGATGTACGTGAGAGACGTTCCATCTGTTCCAAAGAGTTCTTCTCAGATAATTATGAAAAATCAAAATATAAAATGGAAGTATCTAACATATGTAACAATGCACATGACAGCTCGGTCCTATTTTTCATTTACGCCTATGCCACCCCATCTCTGATTTACTCAACTCGTAATCTAGATGACGTCTTTACGTTGAATAGTTTGATAGTCAGGATGATTCGATGAGTTAAAAGTATTGACACAGGATGCTGTTGATTATGTTATATGCCAAATATAACCCTAAAAAATAAATGAAATATATGTATAACATCCGTAGCTCTCCGTCGTCAGACACACACACACACACAAATATATTTTAAAAAATCCGCGGTATACAATTTGATTAATGGCGTTAATGACCAGCATGGAGAGTTAAAAAACATCGAAAATAACTTGATTTCCAAGATAATTAAAACAAATTCGTATTTCACAAGATTAGATTCAAATCTCATTCGGTTCATACTTTATACAGTGTGCTTGAATCGCGGACGAGATGCGGAGTACGATACAACGTCTGATACGTGGAGAGACGCAACGGTTGATACGCGAAGCGACACAACGATTGATACGTGTCGCCATTCGAATAAAAACATTCATTATCTTCACAAAAAATATTTTTGTTGAACCAATATATATTTGACAAACTTATTTTGGTATATATGTTTTGTAAAATGGTATACTCGGGTGTGGAGAAAGATGCTACTAATATATGCATCTTTGGATATGTAATCACTCATACAATCTGGACCCGGTATATTGTAATTTGAAAACATTTTGGCGGCGTTGTCACAGGAAGAGCATAACGGATTTTGTCGTTTGCACGGTACACCCTATTACGAAGCAAGTTATTTATTTCAGCAGAATATTAACAAGAAGCGTAAAATTCTGCTCAGGCATTACAAATAATGTTTATTTATTTCTACGTTTCCTGCGGAAATCAGATTTTCAGATCACACCGTGGATTATTGTATTTATTTTCAGCACGCTACGGGTTTTCCAACGATAATCCCTGTCGGCACCACATCATAAGTTTATATTTAGCGATGTCCGTAGTTTCTGCCAATTAAAAGTATTTTAATGTAAACTCAAAGCATCAAATATCATATGTTTATATTATTTTGAAAGAAGTAGCTTGTAATCTTGCATAAATCACATACGTATATTGAATATATGCATTTGTAATTTAATAATGACCAAAATAGTGGGGATATTTGCTGATCAGAGGTTTTTCATTAAACATGACATTTCAGAAACTGATACAGTCATTGTGTATTCACGTAAAAGATTCCAACAATCGTACCCGAACAAATTATCGTTTAATACGTGTCGCTCTCCTGCAATTTAAACATCAAACTTTGAGAATTATTGCTGTGACATACTAGCACTAGATTGGACTTAAAAGTCTACTCTTATTAATTGTTGGCAGCTGGTAAATGTGTATAATGGGATGCACTGATTTAAAGTAATTTTGAATCTTGAGTCAAATCAAACAAAACGATTCTTTTCTGTTCACAGTTGATTCAATGTCACACGATGGCAACAGTCAATGCCCTTAAATTATTTTCACTGAAAATAGCAAACTCTAATGCACAATTTGCATAAGCTATATTAAGCAACAAAAATCAGTGAATCGCACGATAATTGCCTGGTAGTGACATGTATTACACATTTAATAATTACTGGAGTCTGGGCGTTCATTACATTCCGCTTTCCGCAGTTTAACACATGCGAAGTGACAATTAAACTGGTGCCAAATTTACTCGCATCCACAGTCAACTGTGAATACCTTGTTCGTGGTGGCTGCGGTGTAATTATTGAGATGTTCCATTCATACTCTGGTGACGTGGAGACACACAAATCAATCTATGAGACTTAGAAACATGTAGTGGTCAATACGTCGTTAGCCATAATAACGAATCGGCACCATTTATTCACTTACATCTTCTTACATAGAGGGGAATATATCCTTAGATCAGAGCGAATAAATAAGAATAAATAGTTAGAATAGTCACGAATTAAAAAAAACGTTGCTTCTAGTCACGATCGGAAGCATATAAACTATCGATACACATTTTCCCCGCCCTAATTATATTCTGCTCTATATTCGTCGAGCATTAGATATCGGATAAGGGAAATCAGTAAAACAAACTAACGCGAGAAATAGTGTCCTTAGTCTATAACGACATACTCAGAGCGTATCATTATATCATCGTATCACTATATCGGTAAATGACACGTATATTCATCTTCACTCAATGGAACGTGCATTCATTTTCACTCAATGACACATATAACCTGAACCACTCAATGACACGCGTAATCTGATCCGCCCAATGCCACTTATACTAAGATCCACTCAATGACACATATAATAAGATCCATTCAATGTCACGCGTACTCTGATCCGCTCAATGTCAATGACACTTATAATTATATTCACTCAATGACACGCGTTCTCTGATCCACTCAATGAAAATTATACTAAGTTCTACTCAATGACACATATAACTAGATCCACTCAATGACACATATAACCTTAACCACTCATTGACACGCGTACTCTGGTCCGTTCAATGACACTTATACTAAGATCCACTCAGTGACACATATAATTAGATTCACTCAATGACACGTGTACTCTGACCCACTCAATGCAAAGTATACTCAGATCCACTCACTTACGCGTATGCTCATATCCACTCAATGATATTTATACCGGAACCACTCAGTGACACATATAAACCGATCCACTCAATGACACGCGTGCTCTGATCCACTCAATGACACATATACTCACATACGCTCAATGACACATACAATCTGATTCACTCAATGACACGTGTACTCTGATCACTCAATGACACGTGTACTCTGATCACTCAATGGCACGTATACATATAATCATTCAATTACATGTATCCTCGATTTCAATAATGACACGTACACTTAATCCATATAATCATATACACATATACTCCTTTATCTGCATCACATTTTTCAGAATCACAAGGAACGGGGCTAAGGTATTTAAATTCAAAATTGCCAGTGCTCCGGGCAATTTTTCTAGAAAAAAAAACGGGTCATTGCATTTTATAAATTAATTGTTGTAACCAGTGGTTCAAAATCGCGTGATTAAACAATCATGTAACCTCGAAAACCAGAAAAGGTGTTTTATTTTGTTACTCTATTGTTAAAAAATAGAGTGTTAAAAATTGTTGCTAATGATATCTCATTTTCCTTGTATTCTCTTGCAGAAAAGAAGCCTTACAGACTCACTAAAAAACCACGTCAACAAATTAGAAACACGACATTCAATAAGCAAAAGACGGTCACAGCCATGCTTTGACTACCAACTAGAGCCAATTGGGTTTTACTGCAGGGGTACAGGTAAACGTAGAAGCCATGCTGCGGGAAAACGCGATGAAAAGAAAGCAGCGCCTGATTTCGGAGTCGGTGGATTCGATCTTCTCGGAAAAAAAGCCGCGCCAGATTTCGGCGTCGGTGGGTTCGATCTTCTAGGTAAAAAAGCTGCACCCGATTTCGGTGTCGGTGGGTTCGATCTCCTCGGAAAAAAAGCAGCACCAGATTTCGGCGTCGGTGGATTCGATCTCCTCGGGAAGAAAGCAGCACCAGATTTCGGCGTCGGCGGATTCGATCTCCTCGGAAAGAAAGCAGCCCCAGATTTCGGTGTTGGTGGGTTCGATCTTCTTGGAAAGAAAGCAGCACCAGATTTCGGTGTTGGTGGGTTCGATCTTCTTGGAAAGAAAGCAGCACCAGATTTCGGTGTTGGTGGGTTCGATCTCCTCGGAAAGAAAGCAGCACCAGATTTCGGTGTTGGTGGGTTCGATCTCCTCGGAAAGAAAGCAGCCCCTGATTTCGGTGTTGGTGGGTTCGATCTCCTCGGAAAGAAAGCAGCACCAGATTTCGGAGTCGGTGGATTCGATCTCCTCGGAAAGAAAGCAGCACCAGATTTCGGAGTCGGTGGATTCGATCTCCTCGGGAAGAAAGCAGCACCAGATTTCGGAGTCGGTGGATTCGATCTCCTCGGAAAGAAAGCAGCACCAGATTTCGGAGTCGGTGGATTCGATCTCCTCGGAAAGAAAGCAGCACCAGATTTCGGTGTTGGTGGATTTGATCTTCTTGGAAAGAAAGCAGCACCAGATTTCGGTGTTGGTGGATTCGATCTCCTTGGAAAGAAAGCAGCACCGGATTTTGGCGTCGGTGGTTTTGATTTGCTTGGAAAGAAAGATGCATCCGATGACGAATAAACATATCTAAAGTAATTGGCATTCACATCAAAAATGAAATTTTATTTTCATATTCCATAAAATATATTTCGCATAGAGGTTGATCGGGTCAGGCATAACCCTTGACTCGAAAAAATACACTCGTGTCAGGCGACACATGATTGACAATACAGGACTTTGAACTGTATTTGTACACAATACGCACGATAACATCTATAAGCTTTGCGCATGACCAGCAGTGAAGTAGTATGCATGTCATTTGTGAACAGTAGCAGGTACCTAAATTCCCTATTAGGTCTGTTTTATATATGTATATATTTTCGATGTAACAAATTAGGTTTTATTTATTATTTTAATTCCATGGCAAAATAAACAGAGCATACAAGAAAATTTCGTTCTTGTAATTTGAGTTTTTAATGAATGTGCTTTGAGTATACAAATTTCTGTTGTAATAAAGGTCGATTTGATTGGGTTAAACACGTGTCGATAAATTATGTGTTATCCTGCGCACCATTGTGCGCATGTCATCATCATTGCGATGGCGAATCGAACATCGACGCAAGTAACGTCACGCATTCAACACAAGTACGACGTTCACGATAGTACAAAGCACGGTGTTATTCCTTAACGTCTGTCACTTGTCACCCATGTTAGCTACTGTAACACCGACTCCAGCAAAACAGTTCTGCTTCACCAACAAACAGATATCAATTTAAATGATCGGTAAACGACAAACAATTGAATAAATGGGTAACTATTGGCCGATGGAATAACATTGTAATACTTTATTTTCGGTTGCCATTGACTTTTATAAATATACAAGGAAATTGGTTAGTGGTAGCGATATAAAACATATAAACTGGAGATGTTATAAACATTTTATACAAATAAATTAAAATGACTGATGGAATTCGAATTGACTAATCCAGAAACGATATGGCGACATCATTACAAGTCCTAATTAATATTAATTAGTTCAATATTTTCCAATCAGCAAGCTTTTCATTTTGAATGAGTCACTTTACTACTTGGTATTTACAAATTAATATAAATATGTTTATAAGGTACAACCTTTTGCTACAACTCACTGTTGTATACGACACAATCTGTCACGTGTTTCCGTTTTGATACAGAATCATGGCGACTATCAAAGAACATTTAGCTACGCGCCAATTCTCCCTTCCAAATGCTAAAACGAAGTATTTTATGTCAATACAATGGCACTAACACTACGATAAAGACATTTCGTTTTCGACATTATGAAATTCTTTCATTTTGTTGGAGAAAATTATAGCATTTCAAAAAAGTAAACTGCATAGTTTGTAATTTCATTCTGATTATTTCAGTCATAATTCAAGATTTTTTTCTTAACAGTCTTTTGTAATCAATAATTATGAAAATTATCATGGTTGTGCATATGGACTACATTTCGTTATGAATTATTCTTAATCTATTTCTGAATTTTCTTATCAAAACAGTTATATTCAGCACCCCCCCCCCCCAAAAAAAAAACGAAGGAATTTTTAAATGTTAAAAGCGGGAAGACTTTATCGCAGTGTTTCTTGTCGACAAGTTCATAATTCAAATTTAAACCGATATGTCACGGGAGATTAAGATCTGACGCATTTAAAATTCACGATCATATGATTGACTCTTAAACCACTATAACATTCAACCAATTAAATAACTACGTTGATTTACGAAAACAGCACCTTCGTGGCGCAGTGGATGTCGCCTTGTGACGCAAGCTCATCGTTAGTTTTCCGAACATCTATTGATGTTTATTAGTTTATCAATACTGAAATTTCACATCGACCACAGGTGACGTCAGACGCACCATCAATAAACGAGACACATAGTAAGACAATGACGTAGCATACCCATACCCGATGACATACCCACTTATTGTCAATGAAATTATTGTTGCCGTTGTCACAGCTTTACACCAAAACTATTTGTGCAAAAAACTAAATGCGTTGGTATACACTTGGATTAACTATCCGAATATATTAAAAATAGATATAATAGTTTATAAAATAAAGTGATTCACTAACTAAAATTAAAATTAAATTCTACGCAAATCAGATAATTATTCGTATCACATGTCAAAGACCCGGGTCGAATTATACTTCGAATATATTACCTGACTACGACTCAGACTATGAATATATAATTGAAATGGTAACACATTGTTGCATGCAGATGTATAAAACTTACATCTAACACTGAAAATTAATTGAAATGTAACACATGTTGAAAAACACATAGAGTCTCACACTGAGAAACCATGTACGGAATATCAGTGTGATCAGACCTAGTCACGTTTTTCCGTAGAAGAAATGATTTTTCCATATATACATACAATCCGGATAAACACGACGTCACATAATCATGTACCATTTGTGTAATAAAAACTCGCCATCACAAAACAACAACTGCGAAGTTCGACATTTCTTTGCAATCATGGCTACCCAATATCAGTCACTATACTGTATAAACTACCATGGCCACCCAATGCCAGTCACTAAATCGTGCATACTCCCATGGCTTCCCAATTTCAGTCACTATACTGTGTATACTCCATGGCTACCTAATATCAGACACTATACTGTGTATACTCCCATGGCTACACAATGTCAGTCACTATACGCTGTATACTCCGTGGCTACCTAATATCAGTCACTATATTATAATCATTTGGCTACCCAATGTCATTCATTATACTGTGTATACTCCCATGGCTACCTAATATCAGACACTATATTGTGTATAATCCCATGGCTACCCAATGTCAGTCACTATACGCTGTATACTCCCATGACTACCGAATATCAGTCACTAAACTGTGTATACTCCCATGACTACCCAATGTCAGTCACTGTATTGTGTATACTTCCATGGCTACCAAATGTCAGTCACTAAACTATATATACTCACATGGCTACCCAATATCAGTGACTATATTGTGTATACTCAATGGCAACCTAATATCAGTCACTATACTGTGTATACTCGCATGGCTACCAAATATCAGTCACTATATTGTGTATTCTCCCATGGCTACCCAATGTCCGTCACTATACTGTGTATATTCCCATGGCAATATAATATCAGTCACTGTATTGTGTATACTCCCATGGCTACCGAATGTCTGTCACTATACTGAGTATACTCCAATGGCTACCCAAAGTCAGTCACTGTATTGTGTATACGCCCATGGCTACCCAAAGTCAATCACAGTGTGTATAATCCCATGGCTACCTAATGTCCGTCACTATTCTAAGTATACACCCATGGCTACCAAATATCAGTCACTGTACTGTGTATTCTCCCATGGCTACACATTGTTAGTCACTATATTGTGTATACTCCCATGGCTACCCAATATCGGACACAACATTGTGTATACTCCATGGCAACCTAATGTCAGTCACTATACTGAGTATACTCCCATAGCTACATAATATCAGTCACTATACTGTGTATACTCCAATAGCTACCAAATGTCAGTCACTATATTGTGCATACTCACATGGCTATCCAATGTCAGTCACTATACTGTGTATACTCCATGGCTACCCAATGTCAGTCACTAAACAGTGTATACTCACATGGCTGTCCAATGTCAGTCACTATACGGTGTACATTACCATGGCTACCCAATGTATGTCACTCTACTGTGTATACTCCAATGGCTACCTAATGTCAGTCGCTATATTAAGTATACTCACATGGCTACCCAATATCAGTCACTATACTAAGTATACTCCCATGTCTACACAATGTCAGTCACTATATTATGTATACTCCCATGGCTACCCAATATCAGTCACTATAATGTGTATACTCCCTTGGCTACCCAATATCAGACACTATATTGTGAATATTAGCGTGGCAACCCAATATCAGACACTATACTGTGTAAACTCCCATGGCTACGCAGTATCAGAAGCTATAATGTGTATACTCCCATGGCTAACCAATATCAGTCACTATACTGTGTAAACTCCCATGGCTACCCAATGCCAGTCACTAAATCGTGCATACTCCCATGGCTTCCCAATTTCAGTCACTATACAGTGTACACTCCATGGCTA